TTGCTGGAACAGTTTTTCATTGATGAGAGCACAGCTTCATCTCATTTACTAAGCTCAGAGAACATTCACTTTGCTAGTGATCAGTCTCTAGTCCCCTAGTAAATGAACCCCAATGACTAGGTAATTTATGGTCTACCCAAATCAGAGAGATCAACTCTTGGTGGACAGGCTCATTAACAAAAATATTAGAGATTTCTTTTATATTTAGTGTGACCCTTGGCTGTATCTAAAGGTGCTTTTTCAATTGCCAAAGACTGGGACTTCTGATCTACTGAGCAGAAGCAGCCTTATAAATAATTACCTGGTTTGTGTCTTTTTTTAGGGAAAAGATCCTGCATGGAGGAACACAGTGACAAGCCTTGCCTGAGCTCACAGCCCCAGTGTCTGCATTCTCCACAGTTTGTAGACTTTGCCAAAATGCTAGATGACATTCACATTCCGTGTGAGGAACGGGGGGAGACTTGGCAGAAAAATGATCTGGATACTGAGGACAGGGGGAAGAAAATGACTTTTAAAGATGAGAAAGTGCAGCTCACAACTAGATCTCGCTTGCACTCCCTCCCTGAAAGTGGCAGTCAATTGACAAGCAGTACAAATCCCCACTACTTTCTTTTTTAGCAGTGACTGAGTCTCTGGACTGCATAGAAAATGCCTTGTGATCAATGTCTTATCTATTTTCTGTGTTTGCAGCACAGCTCATGTGCTTGCTTATTTGTTTCTATCATATGGTACATAGGAAGTGATCTCTGCATTGTTCTAGGAGAGTGTGTGGAGAGGGCTGAGGTGAAGGGGTGTGAGTTACCTCTTCAAATGGGAACAGAAATCCATTCTTTTGTTTCCAAAGGCGCTTTCTCACTTGCCTCTTTTCTTCTTCATTGTGCAGTCTGGATCACTTTGCTACCTTTTGCAGCACTGACATGAAAATACTAAAAGTTTCCAAGTGCAGTAACTTCTGCTGTTTATACACAGAATATTTCAGAAGCAGAGAGATTACTGAATGGTGGAGTTCTGACAC